GGATTATCCTTAGATCTGCATGGGTGAGAGCAGCTCAACAGCGCTGGCTCAATAAGCCTCCCATTTCAGGGGTAAGACCCGGTAGATAGCTAGGGACATAGGGTGCAAGAAGGAATTCACTTCTACCCATTTTTGGGATAGTAGAGAGGTTGTTCTCTTAAGGGCTGAATCCAGGTCTTGAACAATTGGCGCCACCCTCATCAAAAGGTTTGAGAGGATTTTTTGATTTGATAGTTGGACAACAAATCATTGTTCATCAGAGGATTAGTGGGACTTAAGGAACAAGAGATAATTACAGGGGTAAAGCGGTATTTTGACCCAGCTGTAATTACGAACAACCTGTGAAGGATCGACTTACCGATCATGGTTATATAAAATGGACATAATATATCTACAGTGAGGAGAGTGCAGCTACGGGCTTTAGTGGAGTGACCGCGTAGTTAACGATTGTTGGTTAACTAGGTTAAAAAGTTTAACCGGTTAATCTCGGATCGTTGAAGCTCATGATCTGTAGGTCCATAAGGTCCCCTGGCTAGCTCATATAGGAATAAACTTGGAATAATTTGAAGGAATAATTCAAATCGTACGAATTAGGTTAATCATATGAGATATGATTAAGTAATTGATATATGATATCAATTTGAGAAATTTGGACAAAATACTTAAATAGGATTTAAATATTAAAATTATGAATGCGGATTCATAATCGGAGGCATGGATTTCATCAAACATCGGATTTTGGAAAAAGTCAAATAGTTGACTTTGACCAGAGAAAGTCTAAAGTTGACTAAAGTAGATTAAAATAATGTTTTTAACCATGTTGGTGGAAAATTTCACTAACTTGTTGAGTGGAACATTTAAATAATCTCAAAAATCCACTTTTTGACACTTAGCCATGCCATGCATGAGTGGAATGTGTGTTGTAAGCTTTTGGTGAACTTAGACATGCATTTTGACACTTAGTCATGCCATGCATGAGTGGAATCTGTGTTGTAAGCTTTTGGTGAACTTTGACATGCAAGAGTTGCATGTAATTTGCCTATTTAAGAAGGCTTTTGTTCAAACATCAAGCTCTCTTGGAACCTTTGGTCATTTGATGTGTTTTCAAAAAGCTTACATAACTCTTTTTAGCTCCACTTTTCTCTAATTTTTTCCTTCTCTAAAAAGAGTCCCACCACTCTATTCCAAGCCTTGAGAATAGCTAGGAAGATCTCTCGGTGGTCCTTCATTGGAGCTATTTGAAGATTTTTGAAAAGCTACAAAGGTTTGTATTTTTCTCTACTTATCTCTAAGCATCATAATGTATGATCATGCATGTTTAATCCTAGGTTGTATTATGCATCTAGATTGTTATTTCGATTCTTGCTCACTTCCGTTGCGCATGTATGTATTTTCTCCATCACTGTGTTGCGTCCACACAACCGTGTTGACAACACGTGCAAGTATACATGAAAATTATCGATTGTAGCACGAAACTAGGCCGAATCCACAGGGACTTTGGATTATATTTCAAACCATGCTCGCAGATACCATAAATATAAAAATAAGAAAACATTGATGTTTATGTAGAAAGTAAAAGAAAATATCATAAACAAACAGTAACTGATCTCAACAGCGGACACACTCCAAAATGTTGATAACAGAAAGAAGTTACAGCACAGAACAACGAAAATGAGGGTTAACAGATATGGACAAGAAGGGGAGACAACACTTGCTTTCACCGAATTCTAACCTACACTCTAGCAAGACAACATTCATTAGTGCTCAACTTGACATGGTTCCCTTTCTAGACACCCAAACATGGATACCCACGTTGTTAAGTTTCCAAACAATATACACAAGGTCTAAACATGATTAGAGGACACCATTCCTTAGTATCCAAAAATTACTAGAAAAAAGTAACTAATAACAATTAGAGCAAGTCAGCTACCTGTAAGCCCTCCCGAATCATACAGACGCTAGTATACAGAACACAGTGGCCAACAATGTTAAGTAAGATTTAAGAAATAAATGCAGCTCTATTTAAAAACAAATGAAATCACCTAGAGTTTTGGTTGTTCATTAGTTACAACATGTAAATCTCCCCCAAGAAGAAGAAAATACAATGGGTAAAGAGAGGCTACAACCCATTTTCCAAAAAGAGAAGAAAAATCGAGAAAGACGTTTATAGCTTGAAGCAGAAGCCAAATATCCTCATCTGCTGTTAGATCTTCCCCGAAAATGGTGAGATTCTTCTTCCTTGTCTTTTCCAACCTTCTAAAATGTGTCTCTATTGGGATCTCTATGTGTCAGCCAGGGTTAAATGTCCCTTTTATATCAGGTCCCAATTTTAGGGCACCCAGCTGAAGGTTGTACGGGCATGGTAATTTTCCCGTGTCTGGGTCATTAACTGCGCTGTAATTCCATGCTCCGGCGTTGCTTCGCCCCAGCTCTCATTTGCTCTGTATTGAAAATGTTTCATCTACTTTTCTCTGGACTTAGCACTCTCTTTATGCTTTAGCTTCTCTTTCTAAACTCGTGAAATTAAGCCATAAATAGGGGAGTTTAGCACAATTTTTAGCCAAAGCATTCAAGACCTAGGACTTTTAGCTCGAACTTCACTTTCTAATGTTATCTATGATATTTAAGAGCTAAAATGGACACACTTTGTCAATTCTTTGCACAAAACACCCAAATATACACTAGACTAACTCTCTTTTGGAGAGTTATCATGCTGCACTATAGCGTAACGGCACTGTGCCACTCCATGGTGCTGTGCTGCAGCGTCACGACCCTGACCTATGGCACCGTGGCCCTATCCCTGGTGTTTTTCAACCCCCTATTCGTGCGTTCGAGGCTCCGCATGCGTTTTCTTGGTTTCTTTAAATTAATATGAATTAATTTATGTTAATTTAATTGTAACATAGGATGCCAAAAACTGGACTACTCAGCTATTTATTTTATTGCATTATGAATGTAATTATTTTATGAATTATAAGTTGCATAAAAGATGCCATATAGTTTTAAAATCTCACCACAAGTTAAGCATGATCATGCATCATATGTATATAATAGTTATAATGTATGATGATATGTTTTATTTTCATAATTGATTAATATAAGTGTTGTATTAATTACATGAAAATAAAGTTGCATTGCTTTACTTAATATAATTGTCATATTAATGGATGTCGACAATGCATGTTTATTGATTTAATTTCTTGAATTTTATAAGAGTTATAAAATTTTGGTAGATAGAAATTAAAATCTATAGTAAAGAGTTGCATGCAAACGTAGGGTCTAAGTTAATTAATTTTAAAGGGGATTAAAATTAATTAGACCTTAGGTTATATCTTCTAATATGATTACAGGTAGTCTTTTATTTTCTTTTAACTAGGTTTAAGATGAAATAATAAAAGACTAAATATAAAATATTGCCTATTACGGAACCATATCTAAGCAAGGTTTTGTCTAGGTTGAGGTACTTAAGCTGACCGTAAGGGAACACCTCTACCCGGAACTGACCTGGGCGTTGAATAAGTCAATATTTTATATGCATGAAATAATGTCATTAGTTTGGTAAAATGTTTAATTAACTAAAACATTAATGTACAACTACCAATGTAAATAGTTATATTGGGCCGACTAATAATTCACTTAGTTATTTTTATTTAGCCGAGATTGACCTAAGTAATATACCATAGTCTTAGAATACTAAATGGGAGCAAAAGAGAGTATGTAATATACTATGTATATTTTTTTATATATAAGGTATATATAACATTTTTTTTCTCACATTTCTCCTTAAAAGGGTTGAAAATTAGCATGCTTGTACATAATTATGTATTGTTTAATGGATGCTAATGAGTATATTACTAAAATGTTTACTAGATTTACAAATATTGTTAATGCTTTGAAAGGTTTAGGAAAGTAATATACCACAGCTGAGAACGTGAGGAAGATTCTCAGATCTCGACCAAAAAGTTGGGAGCCTAAAGTGACGGCGATTCAAGAAGCGAATGATCTCTCAAAACGTCCATTAAATGAGCTATTAGATCTCTCATGACGCATGAAATAATCATGAAAGGCAATATGGAAGAGGACGTCGAAAAGAAGAAAAGGCTAGCATTAAAGTCTACATCCTTCCAAGGGGCTTCTGAAAGTGAGGAAGAATTGAATGAGGAAGAGCTTGCCTACTTATCCAAGAAGTTCAAGAAGCATTTCAAGAAGAGACTTTCCAAAGAAAACCAACAGTCAACATGCTAAAGGAGAAAAGAACATTAGAGACGTCATCATCTTCAAGGAGAAACAAGAAGGCTATGAAGGCTACTTGGGATGAAAGTGATGAAGGAAGTGATTCTGAAAGCGGAGAGGAAGTAGCTAATCTTTGTTTCATGGCTCTTGGAAATGAAGATGACAACGACAAGGTATGTTTTGCAAATACATCTTTTGATGAGCTTATGGATGCTTACAATGAGATTAAAGAAGAATTTGAAAAATTAGGTAGTAAATAGTTCTTGAAAAGAAGAAAACTAAGCTAGCTCATGAGAACCATGATTTATTAGTTGAGCATGATAGGTTAAATAAAGAAAATGAGATGTTTAGAAAAGATCTTGTTATGTCTACGTCAAATTTGCATGCTTTGAAAAAGAAGTATAAATTATTACAAGTGATAAATAAAGATATATCTACTGTTTTAAAGTTTACAAACGGTAAAAATAACTTAGACATGATGATGGGAAAACAACAAACGATCTTCGATAAAAGTGGTTTAGGCTATAAACCTCATAAAAAAACAAAAGAAATTTGTAAACTACTTTGTTAAATAAAACTCAATGTCTACTACTGTTTGCAATGCATGCGGAAAATTTGGTCATGACATTTATGCTTGTAAATTGAGGAAAAATGGTGCATTCAATGAAAAGAGATGGAACCCTAAATTTTTTCCTACTAACCCTCAAGGACCCAAACAAGCTTGGGTACCTAAAGTTACATCTTGAGTATCATCTTTCTTCTAGGTATGTTTGAGATCAATAAAGAACAAGTGGTACTTGGATAGTGGGTGTTCAAAGTACATGATCGGAGACCACACAAAATTCACACACCTAGAAATGAAAGATGGAGGTTACGTTACTTTTGGCGATAATAAAAGAGGTAAAATCATTGGCAAATGTAACATAGGTAATGGTTCAAAATTTATGATTGAGAATGTGTTGCTTGTTGATGGTTTAAAGCATGAGCTTTTAAGTATTAGTCAATTATGTGATAAAGGTTATAAAGTAGTATTTAATGATAAAAATTGCATAATTGAAAATGCTTGTGATGGAAAAATATTGTTTGTACGAAATAAAGATAAAAATGTTTATACTATTGAATTGAATGACTGCCCTGTTGTTAATAAATGTTTGTCTGATATGCATAATGATTCTTGGTTGTGGCATAGAAGATTAGGTCATGTTAGCATGTATTTGATTTCAAATATTTCCAAGAAATCTCTTGTTCGAGGTCTTCCAAAATTAAATTTTGAAAAAGACAAAAGTTTGTGATGCATGTCAAATGGGTAAACAAACTAAGTCATCCTATAAACCAAAGAAAATGATTCCTACTTCTAGGCCTTTGCAACTATTACATATGGATCTATTTGGCCCTACTAGAGTTTCAAGTCTAAGTGGAAAACATTATGCTTTTGTTATAGTTGATGATTTTTCAAGATTTACTTGGGTTTTATTTTTATCTCATAAGGATGAGGCCTTAAAAACCTTTATTAGTTTTTCAAAGAAAATTCAAAATGAAAAAAGTTTTACAATTTTGAAAATTAGAAGTGAACATGGAGGAGAATTTGACAATGTAGCTTTTAAAAAGTTTTGTGATGAAAATGGTTTTTCTCATGATTTTTCTTCTCGAAGAACACCATAACAAAATGGTGTTGTAGAAAGGAAAAATCGATCTTTGCAAGAATTAGCTACTTCTTTGTTAAATGAGTATACTTTACCAAAATATTTTCGGCTGAAGCTGCTAATACTGCCTCTTATATGATGAATCGTGTTTTAATAAGGCCAATTTTGAATAAAGTCCCCTGTGAGTCTTTTAATGATAAAACTTCTAATATCAGCTATTTCAAAGTTTTTTGTTGCAAATATTTTATTTTGAAAAATAAAGAGAAACTTAGAATGTTTGATTAAAAACCTGACATTAGCATATTTTTATAATATTCAGCATGTAGTAAAGCATATAGAGCTTTTAATAAAATAACCTTTGTAGTTGAAAAGTAAATGGATGTTGTTTTTGATAAATCTCATATTACTACTAATCAGGTCTCAGCTAGTGATGAGTTAGAAATGCCTTTTGAGAATTTGAACTTTAAAGATAATAACTCGAAAGTTGAAGTAACTGAGACTCAACTTTTTGACTTCCTTGAAGTGCAATCTTGAAGTCTTGATGTAATATCATCCTTCTGAGTCGTCTCATGTTTGGACTTGGACAAATTTTTCGTTCCTTCCAAAAGTGCTTCCAAACCCAATCACTTGGTTTGTTTACATTTTTCTTGGATTTGTTTTTCCTCCATTTGGTACTTTGCATTTGCATTCTCCAACATACAATTCTGCGTTCTCGGCCATGGAATTCTTTATGCGACTTCTTAGACAAATACTTTTCCACAATGCCTTTCACTTTAGGTTTCTTTTGTTCATGGTTACCTACACAAT